CGCGTTCGCAGGCCTTTTGAGGCTTCAGACTCTCGGGCCCCGGTTGTATATACCCCAGGCTTCAAAAGGCGATTTAAACAATAGCACTTTCATGAAGTACTATTTTGGAAATGGTCGAGGTGGATCACGGTTGCTTGGTCTCATGGTTTCATGCCCGGCCCATGCTCCCACATTGGTAACTTTTCACGCTTTGCCCTTGGCGATGCGTGCCGCCACCGATTTGTTCAACCTGGGCGGGCAAAGGGAGATGACATTAATAGATCATAGATCGATCGATCTATATCGTATCCTTCAAACACTAACTCTCCGATGCAGGCAGTTGCACAACTGTGAAGCACTCAATCAGCTAAGAAACATTCTCACTTTGATCTTAGTAGCTGCAATCCTAAGTTGAGATGATTGGGCAGACAAAGACCCATCAACAACCATCTCCAAATCTAGTCCAGAGATCTTGTCAATTAAGTCAGTCAAAAGAGTTGCATAGCTAGTAAGTACTATTGCACAAAAAGGTTCCGGAGCCTAGCACAACGTGTTATCCAGCGAACTCTGTGAAGGGCATGCGCTTTCAGATATGTGCCTGGGCCCACTGCACTCGAAAGCCGATCTTGTTTTTAATCTGTTATACTATTCTCATGTATGACCAAAAACACCACCAAAAAAGAAACAATATTTTTTCAGAGTGGCTCTTCACCCAGGCCATGCTATCTTCGTCAGCAAAGCAGTGCCAATATCTGGGATTAGATCCTCAATCAGTTCCAGTAATTGGAACTCGTATGAATGCTGGGGTATATACAATGTTTCCGTTTCTTGATCGATGTTGTGGCCATTCCTGCCAAGATTCTGTGATTGAGAACAATGCTGCAAATATGCATAAATGCCTAGGCCAGTGTAAAAGCTAATTAAGTGACAGCCATGCAACATGGCAACCTTCACCGCTAGTATCGTGCCTTATAATATTATGCCAAGGCGCATGAAGCTTGGGGCGCACATACCACTCTTGTTTGTTTTGCCTCGCCCAGTTGGAATGCAACTCGCAACAGGTATTGAACTGCATGTTTAAAAGAATAGTCTCAAATGTACAATTTTAAAGAAGGTCAACAACTTTACTACAACTTCTCTACACACATAATGCACTTGCATGCACTTGCATGCAGGCATGAATGATATAATTAATAGCTAAGATGCTGACTCTCTTTTTACATGATCGACTTAGAAGATCGACGAACCAAAACAAACCAGGCCTCAATGATATTCGGGCCAATCTCAACCACAGGCGGACAAAAGATGTACCATGGTGGTATACATCTTGGGCTTCAGCTGTTGTCCTCAGGAGAGGCCAAGTAGTATCAGGAAAGGTACGTACGATTTACTCTAGTGGGGGGGTGGGACATCGATCGAGGCGAAATAGGCTTGCGTGGCAAACATGCGCATGTATTGTATATTTGCAAAATGTTTAATTTACGCACAACATGATACATTATATCCATGACCTAGCTAGCCTATATCGGCTGAGCTCATGTGCGCGCTTGTTGGGCGCTGCTGGCAAGCATCATGAAGCGCCCGGCGGCTTCAATGCCATGCTGGAACCGGCTGAGATGCAACCTAGCTGGTCTAAACTGGGAGCTCTGGAGGGAAAGTGTGGTCACTGCAGAAGACATGTCAACTGTCGATCGACCTTGCTCACCCAAAATATAAGTTCAATTGAAAAGCATCGAGGACACACACATATATTATATGGGTTATTTGGCTTGCAGGCATACAACTTTGCAAATATAGAGATGCTGTAACTGTATACGAGTTTGTGGAAAAGAAGACCGATCAATGGATTGATCTGCCAACTCATGAGTCGTACGTTAGTTTTTGTGCGGAATGCCAAAGCCAACAGCAATTGGACTAGATCAACCGTTGCAATGACTGCGATGCTTCCTAAAAATGGGTCGACCGGCATCACCAGCTGGTCACATCATGAGGGGCATGCCAGTTGCAAACACGGTGCATAGCAAGTGTAATGATGGGCATCCTTTCGTCCGTTTCTGCCAACTGCGTAGGCAAGGCAGCGAGGAGTTCTGCAAGCCACTGCATAATGCATCTTCCGTTGTAGGCTTTCGCAACAAAAAGAATATCGCCATTTTTTTGATAGATCTTAGTTCTGGCTGGCAATTCAGCACTGGCGAGACATGCTAGGACACTATTTGCAGGAGATAATATTAAAATATGATCAAATTAGCTCCTTTGATCAGTTAGGCCTAGATCGTCATTAAAGTACGAATGTTCATAGTGGCCAAGTTGCAAGCTTCTCTTGGAATGCAGGTTGGCTGCAATATATACGCTTTGCTGTGCAAAAGTTTTTGAAGTGGATGT